ATAAAACTTGATTAAATGTGCAGAGTGCTACAACTGAAGTTGTCTTTGAGATTCTGCCAGAAGACTGCGTACATTTAAAATTTTATGTTATATTTGCATCCCTGCCTTTTGCCCTACCTTACTGCAAAAGGGCATGTCACAATAAAAATTAAAATTATTTTCATATGTTACCACTAGTCTTAAAATCTGTGTCTAGGTAAAATACAGGTTAGAGGAAGGACTATAAACATCCTTGGTACTCAATAAATACTTGCTGAATGAATTTTGTATCCATAAATATGTGGATAAACAATGTTACCAAGGCATACTCCTTCCTATGAGTTATTAGAAATATTCCTTTCCTGTCTCAAAAAAGTAGCTAAACAACACATTTTACCCTGATTTCTATTTTAGCATGGTTTTTAAATTAAAGTATTTAAAAAACTAAAGGTGTATTTCCACTCATAGGATCTTTTTGTATTTGCATGGATTCATACACATACATACATACATACACACAGGCAACACTCCACAGCAGAAATATTATGTGTATCGCTATGTACTTGGATGTAATTTAAGATACGAAAGTACTACCTAACCAAAATATATATTTGAAAATTTTTTATGGTTTCTAATTTTTTTCTTTAAGGTTTTGCTACAAAGTTTCTTAAAACTGCCTTTTGTTTTTGAGAGCATACAAAAACGCCCACGTATATCTGATTTTAAACTGCATCTAGCAATCTGACTGCTGCTGGAAAGTCAGAAAGCATGTAGTCACTGTGAACTTTCTGACTATGCCCGTGAGTGAATGCTCCACATCTGGGAAGAGGAATGGAAATCTGAAACAACAATGGTAAAAACCTTACAGAACTATCCATCCAAATAGACTAGGAGCCACTTACGAAATTTCATTCCATTAACAGACTGCCTTGTCCAATAATGGCCATTGTTGACTAATGTTTTTCTCAAATCCTCCATTTTATGTAACACTTCTCACAGTTGGTAAATCATTCATATGTATGTCAAATCCTGACAAAACCTGAGAGCAAGAAGTTGTGCAGTTAAATCAGAGATGGAGAAATAATTGGATTTGTACAAGGTCATCAAGCTAGTAAGTGGCAAAACTCGCTTCATACCAAGTCTTCTGTCCCCAAACACAGTGCTCTCTCCATGTGCTCCCAGCTGATCCCCAGAGCTGAATTCCACCTTCACTGGCAGGTCCCACTTCTTGCAGCACCACATCCCCTGTCCACCCAACTGCAATCTCTCTTCAGGTGATTTAGCACATCCTCTCTGGCCTCACTCCAGTCAACTCCCCAGACTGTAGCCAGAGATATCGTTCCCAAATTTAAATCGAACAGTCTTCTAAATAAGACCAGCAAATGCTTTTCACTGTTTCTAGATACAGAATAAAGTTCTAAGCACAGTCTTCAAGGGCTGAGTGGCCTGAGCCCTCTTCCTGTTCAGGTTTGGAGGATACCCTCTGTGTGCCAGATAGGCTCCTGAGCATAATCACCATGCTCACGCATGCCGGACCACCTTCTTCCCTTTTCACCTAGGCAATGTACTCTCTTTCCCAGCTTAAGCATCACTTCCGGAAGCAAGCCTTCCCTACCATTACTAACTAAACCAAGTGCACCTACTATTTACTCTCAGGGTGCCATCTGCATCTACTTCATTGCAGTTATCACAGTTGCAATTTACATCTACTTATGTAATCATTTGGTTAATGTCTGACTTTATTACAGAATGTCAGTGCATAAAGGGTAAAGATGAGCTCATGTTTTCTGTTTTTAATCCTAATGCCTGGCATACTTTCCACCCATGGTAGATACTTGATACTTTCTTTTAAAGGTGAACAAATACATTAGTAGGCAAGTTCCTTTTGCAGTCTTTAAATCTTTGAAAATAGTATTATTCTGATAATTCCTTGCTCTATACACATATACACAAAATTTAAATTTTAATAAGGAATCCACCCTGAGACTTTGAGATATCCCTTTTATGACAAAGTTTCAAGACATTTCTTAAAAGCTGGAAGCTATAAATGAACACAATAGTATTTTCTCATCAGTACAGAGTATGTACCTTCCTTGTTCCAAACACTGCACTTGTATTTAAAAAAATCTACACCTGGGACATGGTAGTGACAGTTATATCAAAAATTCCCAGGTCGTTTTCATATTAATTACTCTTAAAGCATGTCTACTTGATTTTCAACTAGTATCATAATTTGACAAAACTATATGCAGAGTCCTGTATTAATCACACTATTACAGACAATTTCAGATGGCTAGGCTTTTAAAAATATATATGTTTTTTCTAACGGGCAGAGGGTGGGAATATGAAATAGGGTGGAGGGTGAGATTTCTTTTTTATATGTTTTTATTGATTTTAGAGAGGGGGGGGGAGAGGGAGAGAAAAAGAAACATCATCAGCTTCCTCCTGCATGCCCCCTACTGGGGATCATGCCTGCAACCCTGGCATGTGCCCTGACCAACAACAGAACCACCAACCTCTCAGTGCATGGGATGACGTTCACCAACTAATTCACACTGGCCAGGGCCAGATGGCTAAGCTTTTTTTTTTTTTTTTTTTTTTTTTATCCTCACCTGAGGACATTGTTCCATTTTTTGTTCAGATAGAGTGGGAGGGAGAGAGAGAGAGAAACATCGACATGAAAGGGACACATCAAGTGGCTGCCACCCGCACGACCAACCAGGGCAGGGGACAAACTACAACCGAGGTACACGCCCTTAGCGGGAACCGAACCTGGGTCTCTCTGGACCGCAGGCCGACGCTATAACTGCTGAGCCAAACTGGCCAGGGCAGATGCTAAGCTTTTTAAAAATCCTGATTCCCTCATCCAAACTATTAGGTTTCGCTCCCAGGTTTATGTGATATGCAAATGTTATGGGCATGTTTCATTCAAGTCAGTAATAAAATAATTACTAGGACAAAAATGAAAGAGCTATGTCATGTCACTAGAAATACTTCTCTCCAAGCTCACATCAATCCATTCATCAAATTTTTTCAACCATCTATCCTCATAAAACAATCCCTAATTTGACCATTTATTTCATAAACATATCATGAGACATTTTGTCCAAAACCTTGACAAAATCAACTTACTCATATAAATGGTTAAAAAAAAAACACAAGTTTAACTAGTGAGCCCACGTGGACCCTGGAGGACCACTTCTTTTCTAGGTATATCTTCTTGAACCACTTGTCTAAGGATCAATTAAAAAATTGTCCCAAAGACAGAAATGAAACCCACTAATCTTTTTTTTTTTTTTTTTGTATATGTCCCTAGCGGGAACCGAACCCGGGACTCTCTGGTCTGCAGGCTGATGCTCCAACTGCTGAGCCAAACCAGCCAGGGCAAACCCTCTAATCTTATAGTTGCAGAATTACACTTCTACCATTTTTTGCAGAAATAAAAGTGGTATACACATGATCTTTAGTCTTTTTGGCACTTCTGATAACAGCCATAATTGCTCAAAGATCACCAAACCATTCATTACTGCAAGTCATTTAATCCGAGGGTATTAACTAGATAGAGTATCCAAGAGCTTTCTCATCACTGCCTCTCCTTCCTTAGACTTTACTTCTCTTGCTACTAACAAGAGTCCCTTAACTGCATTTGAATATCATTTTCTGTTGAAGTTGAAACCAACACAGGAGTTCCACAGTTCTGCCTTCACTCCAACATCTAGTATTACACCATCTGGCCCAAACAGTAGTTTATCCTTTTTCTAGTTTTTCTTCATGATCTGAGCATAACATGTGGTAGTGCTCAGCTTCTTTACAAGCTTCAGTTCATTTTAGGATTCAGCTGCCTATATGCTACTCTCTTTAATACTGCTCTTTTATTTGTGTTCCAACCTTTTCTTGCGTATGAGAATAACTGGTTCTATTATTGTATTTCATTTTAGAAAACTAAACACATTCCATTCATTCAATTGATGTTTTATTGCTTGCCAAATATAAGCAAATCACCAAACTAGAGCAAAGTATACAAAGATAACTCTAATATGTTACCTGTCTTCAATGAATTGACAGGAAAAGTTGACTTTTAGGCAGAAATATTGGCTTTATACTACCAAGATAAAAGTAGGTGCTGTGTGAGCAGAGTATAGAGCAACTAGTTCAAGTATGAAAAGGTTACTGAAGTCTTCATCTAGAAAATGGTATTTCAATCAACAAGAGTGATTAATTTCATGTATCTGGTATTTAAGTTGCATAGAGTGCATGAAATAGCCTGAAAATATGGAGACAGCTATAAAAATGCCTTGTAATCTAAGTGTTCAACACATGGGATAAGTAAAATGAACCAAAGTCTCCCTACAAAGTACTATGCAGCAGTTAAAAGAAACAAAAGTGTATACCCCAAAATACAGACTGATCTTTAAATAGTACTGAGGGCAAATGAAAAAATGTCTACAGCATGATATCAGCAAAATTAAAATACATGAACATCCAGCCCAGCCAGTGTGGCTCAGTGGCTGAGCATCAACCCATGCAACAAGAGGTTGCCAGTTCGATTCTAGGTCAGGGCACATGCCCAGGTTGTGGGCCCGATCCCCAGTGAGGGGCATGCAGGAGGCGGCCAGTCGATGGTCTCATCAATGTTTCTATCGCTCCCTCTCCTTTCCTCTCTGAAAAAAAAAATGCACGCACATCCAGTGTTTGTGCGCACACAAATCTCCATGTTTTACAGGAACACAAGCAAATAAAGTAATTCAGATAAAAATATGAGAATAGTTACTTATGGAGAGGAAATATAATAGGGATGAGAAATCAGAATAAATGAATTTGTTTAAGGGTATGTATGTAGTTGACATCCACAGATATTATTATTTATTTTTTAAAAAGTACAGTTTTCCTGTGTGAGAAGTTTTAAAGTCTAGGAATGGCAAACATCTAATGTAATTTTTAGAAAACAGATTTTTCTCAGTGTGAAGTATACAACCCTGAATCTATAGTTTCTTCTGGAGTTAAAAGCATGAGTTTATTACCTTTTTCTCCACATGCTGAGTAGGTCTTTATCATCCTGTAAGAAAAGAATAAACTGCCAATAAGTAAAGATGGATGCAGAAGTTTTGAATAGAGATGAAAGTGAAGATTGTGTTGTACAAGGAATCAACTGCCACAAATAAAATCAGTATCTGAAAACTCAAATTTGACTATCTTCTGGGAATATTATTTAAAACACTCTTGCACTGGGGTAGATCCTCGGCTAAAAATAAATGCAAAGGTTTTACACCAAGTTGAGTTTCTGTTCCATTTTCTTATAAGTGTGCCAAAGAGAACAATGAGAAATTAAAACAAGTCTCACTATGTCTTGAGAGCTCCAAGCAGAGAGCTGTGTAATAAACTCGAGCGCTATCACTTGAGGAATAAATCTTACATTACCAAGAACTGCTTCGTCTGTACAAACAGACTTTCTATAGAACTGGAACTGAATGCTACAGGCAAGGCGCCAATATTTTAAAATTCCATCAAGTTCTAGTGCCAGGTGACAAATGTTGGCTGTGACACGACTTATGCAACACATTTCATCTAGTCATCGTAGAATCAAAGGAATCTTTCCAAAGGTTCTCTTTCAGATAGGCAGGGATGATTTCTATCCCAATCACACTTGTAAAAAGTGGAAAATACACCTGAGAAGTTCAAGGACATGATCCTACTGAATAAATTTTGAGAATAAAAAACTTAAAAACATAAAACTGGCACCTGTATGGAGTAGCCCTCTATTGTGAAGACATTTTTTCATCTGGATGCACAAAGCTAATTCAAAAGCAACCAGAATCAAAATATATATAAAAATTATAAGTGATATGTGTAAAGAATACACATGATCAACAATACTCTCTATTTATATAACCTTCTATTTCCATGGACATGCTCATAAGGGTCAGATGTCTATTTTCCCTTTTTGGTTTGTGCGTCAGTAATTTGACAGGGAATCTTTTCCCTATGACTCTTCTCATTGAGTATCATTTCAGCCCCTATTTAGTTATCCATCAACTCATCCTAATATCTTCTTACCTACTCGAATTAGAATAAGGTCTATTTTGATAGACAGTGGAATTTAAAAGAGGGCATTTTCTAATAATTATATTAATGTAGTTTTATTTTTCAAATATGATTACCTAAGGAAGGTAATCTATATTATTATGGGTGATGAAATATGGATACTAGTTCCTTTCCTCTTTATAAACTATGTGCTGCTTTTAGAATCAAGAAAAAATATTTTAAATAACTATGTAGTGATATGATGGGAGGAAAACTTTATTATGACAAGGTCTCAATTTCAAAAGACAGCTATATATCAAAGAAACTTGGTCTGGGATCTTCCTCTTGCCTTCTCTCATTATCCTGGCTTGCAACCCAACTTAGATATGAGTGCACAGACTCACTAGCTTTGTCATGGGGTCTATGACAAAAAGAACAACTGAAGACACGGGCTGAGGAAAATTCAAAAGTTATAAATCAGGTATCTTGAAAAAACATTAAATCTATTCTGGGTTCTAAAATTATATTATATTATACTAAAATGCCAAGTTTTCTTATAATGAAACATTAAAGTTAGCACCTTATCAATTTCTGCTAAAGACTATATGGCTCCAAACAAACAAATATTCTTGTACCTCCATATGCTCATGCATGAAACCAAGTAATATTTACAGTATCACATGATAGATTTAACAATATTGTTTCAAAAAATGTCCTTGTTCAATAAAACAATTATCACCCTGATATTTGCCCAGTTTTCCTCTAAGTTATACACTGATCAAATAACATAAACCAAACATTTTAAAAAACAACAATATAACTTTTAATATTCAATTTTACTATTCTTAGCATTATACTTGAAACTAATAATGAAGTTATGAAACCTGTTCATGTTATTTATTCACCTCATTCTTTGTACAACTGAGGCAGGATTCTACAGAATTTCAGAGCTGGTACCTTACCTCTCATCTTCCCAGGCTTAAGAGTAGTGTTAGGGGCTAAAAAAGTCTCAGACAATATGTCATATCACAAATTACACTAAGATGTGATAGTAGTTCATGATAAGCTACACACGTGCACTATCAAAAAGCTCCAGAACACTGCTCACTCTTTTGATTTCTAAGTATACATACCTCTATTTCTAGTTTGCTACTTTGATGATCATTTAACCAATCCATTTCCTGACAAGCAAGATATTTTTACTATATGTGCAACAGAGAACTACAAAATCCTTCCAATGCTTCTATTATATTTTCACTTTGATGTACTATTCCCAGAGAATGACTTTTCTGGTAAAATCACAGGTTATCATAATTGACATAATCTGACATTTCCCAGTAGATTATAACATCCATCCCTGAGATTTACTATTTCTATATTTTCTTTCTTTCACTAATATTTTTTTAAAACATGCATTATAGAAGTAGTCCCACTGCTGCCTTTAACAGAGCAATTTGTAACTTGGCTTTTTATGTCACTTCATACAGTAAATAAATGTAAATTCAACTCATGGGGCGAGATACTTCATAAAATATAATCATGCAAAGTATCAACAATATGCTTGATGATTTAGTTATAGCTATTGATTTATGGTTACATATCAAATAATGATTTAGTTATAGCTATCTTATGTAATTATGTAGGTGGTATTTACTATAATGTAAGCATTTAGCAAATTCATACAGGAGAGAAATTTCAAATTCGTGATTGTTACAAGAAGGAAAACGAAAAAGGATCTATTTAAGCACCTCATGGAATTCTATTTCATATAATTTAAACTTTTCAGGAAGTTCTGAAATCTAATTACTCTAATAAATGTTATATTATTCATCAAAGCAAGAATATGCTACATGATTTACAAGGCATAGAGTTTATGGTCTAAGCTAGACATATAAACATACATAAATTTTTTAAATCTCATAGTAAAACTAAACATTTACTATTGTTGGAAGTATACGAGAGAACAAAAATTTTCACCACATGTTAACATGAATTTTCTGTTATTGTAATTTTTATTCATATAATTTGATTTCCCAAATCTCCAAAACAATTTTAACAGAGAGTATGTTAGTCAGTAAATAGCATTTGTCATCCTGATCCTAAAGCTCACAGAATGTGCTTTGGATGAAGACAGAACAGTTTTAACACCAACATGTAAAAAGCCATTCAATAAGGTCAAAGCAGCATTATAATTAGAAATCAGAGCAACAGACTAAAAGAGAAAAAGCGTAAGATTACCTCAAATTAACATTTACTCATAAATAAAAACTCAGCAAACGAGAAATAGAAGGGAACTTCCTCAACATGAGAAAGGGCATCTACAAAGAACATACAGCTAACAGCATACTTAACGGTTGATAGTCCAAATGTTCTTCTAAAATCAGGAAGAGGACAAGGATATCCTCCCTCATCATTTCTATTCAACACGGGAGGTCCTAATCAATGCAATAAGGCAGGAAAGATTAATAAAAGGCAGAAAAATTAGAAAGAAGAAATAAAACTGTTTTTATTTGCAGACAACATAATTATCTCTGCAGAAAATCCTAAAGAATTTTTTCAAGCTATTAGTAATAATAAGTACATTCAATAACATAGGGTTAAAAGTTCAATATATAAAAAGTCAAATATATTTCAATATCAGCCATATTGTATTTCATACTAGTAAAGCCAGTATTGAAATTTATAATAATATAATTTATAGTAGTATCAAATATATGATATAGATAAACTTTTAAAATATATGTAAGACGTATACACTGAAAACTAGGAATACCTGGTAAGACAAATCAAAGATCTAAATAAATACACAGATATATCATGATCATAACACTCAATATTGTTAAGATATTTATTTTCCTGAAATCAGCAGAGTCAACACAATTCCAATCAAACTCCCAGGAAGTTTTTTATGGAATATGACAAGCTAATTCTAAAATTTATATATAAATGCAAAGTACCTGAAATAATTACCAAAAACTTGAAACACAAGACAAAATAGGAGGAATTATATACAACTTAATTTAAGACTATAAAGCTACCATAATGAAGAAAGTAGGGTATTGATGTAAAGATAACAATAAAAAAATAGGAACAGAAATATACCCATATGTATATGGTCAGTTAATTTTCAATATAAATGGCAAGAAAATTCAACCGAGAAATTATAGTCTTTTCAACAAACAGTGCTGGAAAAATTGATAATCATGGAAAGATATAAAAATGAATTTACTTACATCATATATGAAAATTAACTCAAAATTTATCATAGATCTGAGGATAATACAGGGTGGAACAAATGTAGGTTTACAGTTGTGAGAAGGTAAAACAGTTTATTCTTGTATTATTATTTATTAATTATTGCATTATTTTCCATATACACACACCTGTAAACCTACTTTTGCCCCACCCTGTCCTATAAACTCCTACACAAAAACATGAGACAATTTAAGTGACATTAGGTTAAACCAAAATATTTAATATTCTGCCAAAAGCCCAAAGAACAAAATTGATCAACTAAATCAAAATGAGACTTTTGTTCTTTGAAAAGACACACTTAAGAAAATGAAAGCACAAGCCCACAGATGTGGGAAAAAGGTTTGGAAAACATATTTCTGATAAAGGATTTGTAATATGAAGAATAAATATCTAAAAACAACTCAATAAGGAGATTAGAAAACAACAACAAAACATATTCTTTTAAAATAGGTAAATGGTTTAGACACTTTACAAAAGAAGATATGCAAATAAATAAGAATATGAAAAGATACTCAACATCACTGGTCATTTTAGAGAAATACAAATTAAAACTACAGGGAGTCACCACTACATATTCACTGGAACTATCGATAAAATAACAGCACTGCTAATACCACGTGTTGGCAAGGATGTGGAGCAACAAGAACTCATACTTTAGCAGTGCGGATGTAAAATGGTACAGCCACTTTGGAAAACAATTTAACAGTTACTTATAAAGTTAAACATACCTTTACCATATGACTTAGCAATCTCTCTCCTACTTAATTACCTGAGTGAAATAAAAACATATGCTCATACAAACACTTGTAGTAAACATACCTAATAGCTTTACTCATAATAGCCAAAAACTAGAAACAATCCAAATACCCATCAACTTGTACACAGAATAACAAAAGTGTGGCATAGCTATACAATGAACTACTACTTGACAATAAAAAGGGACAAACTATATGAATCATATACAGTATAAAAGAAGCCAGGTACAAAGACTACATACTGTATGATTCCATTTATATGATATTCTAGAAAAGGCAAGACAATAATGACATAAAGCAGATCTATGGTCACCAGGGGCCAATGGATGAGAAGACTGACTACAACAGGCAGAAACAAACTTTTGGAGGTGATGTAAACGTGTATCTCAGCTATGACAGTGGTACATGACTGTATACTTTTGCCAAAACTCATCAAATTGTACATTTTAAATTGGTAAATTATATAGTATGTAAATTATACCTCAATAAAGCCAATAAAAAATAAAAGCACTCAAATATATGTTGAAGACATACATTGGTGGGAATGTCTGATAACTTACCTATCCAAGAAATAACTATAACTTGTTTGAATATGTAAAAATGCTTGAAAAATGCTTTAAAAAAACTGTGAAAGGGTATCAGTGGAAAAGTCAGTCTCTCATCCCCACAATTTCTATGCCATTTATTATTAAATTTATATTCACAAGGAAACTATATTAATAGATGAGGACCTGCTCACTAATTAAGGTACCTATACTTTAAAGATTGTTTTATTAAAATAGAAGACTCTTGAACCAATAACAATGTGTACATCAGTACACATTTTCGAGAGAGGGACCTTCCTGAAACCACTTACAATCTGAAGCCTTTACTCTGCAAATCAGAGTGTCAGTGGTCTGTCAGCATCTTAGTATCCCTCTTTTAAAAACCTGATAAACCTTGTACTGAACTTGATCTCCTTGCAAATAAATATAAACCATTACTCATCGATATGTCAATTTGGATATATTACAAGTCATATAAAATATCCTTAAAGAGTAATTACAAAATCAAAGCTATTATTCTCCTATTCCAGGAGTTTATAGTACACCTTAGAAGGCATATACAAAATGTATTAATAATATAAGATACTATATATGACATATAATAGATATTAAAAATATGTATTATACATAGCAATGAGTGGTAAAGACAGTAAGATTGCTATGGTAAAAAAGAAAGCAAAAGTGGACTAGAACAAGCTATGAGGGACTTGACTCTTCCCAAACAACAGATCTGAAAAAGATGAATGAGCATAAGACTGACACAGATGTGACTATGTGAACATTTTTAGTGGAGAAAGTAGAGACTACTTATCTGAATTGAAGATTAGAGAGAAGTAGAAGATAAGATTGGAAAAATAATATTCATTTATCCAAGAAACATTTATTGGGTCCCTATTACATGTCAGGCACAGTACAGAAATGAAGCTAATGGAAATCCTAGACTCAAGAATTTGGTCTTTTCATTGTACATCAATAAAAGTCACAAGGTTCTACAGAGCTCACGGCAATTTCATAAACATTATCTCAACCAATATTCACAACAAATCATTTAAAGCGGAAACAGAGACTTAGGAGGCTATATTTTTATGTTTAAATGTCATATAGCCAGAGATGGGGGGTGGGGCGGACTCATCCTACTCCTAGCTCAGAGCTCTTTTTTTTACCTCATTTTCTATACCATTCAACTCCTTTTCTCAAGAAAATAAGTCAGTTTTTTAAAAGTGTAATGTGATCTGCCCGGCCAGTATGGCTCAGTGGATTGAGCATCGTCCCATGGACTGAGAGGTCCCGGTTCCATCCCCAGTCAGGGCACATACCTGGGTTGCGGGCTCAGTCCCCAGTGGTGGGCATGCAGGAGGCAGCCGATCAGTTTCTCACATAAATGTTTCCTTCTACCTCTCTCTCTCTCTAAAAAAAAATTTTAATTTAAAAAAAAAAGTGTAATGTGATCAAAGCAATGTTCTAGTCAAATACATGTGGTCATGTTTTGGGGTTGAATAAGAAGGCAAAGAACCTGGAGAGATCTACTACTACTACTCTACTACAGTCATCCAGGAATAGGTGGAACTGTAGGAATAAAAGTCATTGTCTATGAGACTGTATAAAAGGATTCAACTGGCTGTCCTATTTGAAAATGCCAAGAGGGAGACCAGTAGAACCACTGACAAAGTTGAAATGTCAACAAGTGGATCTATTTCATGGAGGGAATAATCTGCAGTGGTCAAATTATCCCCCAAACACTAAAATATTTGGTCAAATGTTATGCAAGTCTCTACCCCTAAAACCAGAATAACCCCGGGTTTATTGCCATTGACTATTTTATTTATAGTTTATTTAATTGTTTATTCTTAAAAGTCTAAACCCTCCACCAGCCTGCAAAGGTATCCATATTCAAAATGTCCAGTAACAGTTTGTGCCCACATTCTGGATACCTCTGATGGCTAGTATTCCTAATTCTATTAGAATAAATAAATATATGTTTAATTAAATCTATAACTGAGTCAAGGCTTTATTTCAGGGATCAGGGTTATTTGCCAGTCATAAGTGAATGCCTAATCACAGGTGTGCAACTGAGAAAATACTTTAAAAATCTACAAAGAGATGAAGTACGTAATATCTCTTAGATGAAATTATTTCTCAGGGCAGGGTTATATTTGTCACTTCTCCCAAGATTCTAAAGAATTTCATTCATTTATGATATTAGTTTACTGATGAGAACACTGGACTAGTAGCTCTTTAATAACTATAAATCGAGATCCCATTCCAACGGATAAACTAGTTCTTATTTTGTTATTTTCATTTTTTAATTTTCTTTTTTGTTAATCTTCATCTGAAAATATTTTTTCCATTGACTTTTTGTAAAGAGTGAAAAGAAGGGAGGGAGGTGAAGGGTAAGAGAGGAAGAGAAACATTGATGGGAGAGCAACACATCAATTGATTGCCTTCTGCATGCACCCCAATGGCTGGGATGGAACCTGCAACCCAGGTACGTGCCGTGGACCTGGAATCAAACCTGAGACCCTTTGGGTGCAAGGGCTGAGGCTCTAACCATTGACCAATACTGACCAGGGCTAAGCTAGTTTTTAAAAGGGAATAACAAAGAGGGTTAGAACCCAACTAATATCATATGCAACATGGAAAGAACAAAGGTCATTGCTGCTCTTTGCAATGGCCAGTAGAGGTTGCCAATGTACAAGGACACATAGGCCTCTCCTTCCACCTCACAGACTCATGAGTTGTCACCAAAACAAAAAACATTCCCATGCTGTAGCATCAAGCCCAGAATTCTGAGCTTATCATAGAGCATTATTCAACAACAATCACCAAGTTGTCTTTTTAACCACAGCTTCTGGGCATGTGTCACAGGAACAAAGATACTGCAGAATATTTTGAGTACTTCTGAAAGATCACACTTAGCTGCTCTCTGACCAAAAGAAACCACCATGCTTTATATATGATTATCTTTCTAGAAAAGATACCTCAAGTTTTACATTTGAAAATGGGTATTTTTACTGAAGAACAGCACAATTATAGTCTTAAAATCCTTATTTGAATAGATGTATTATTTAACTTTTTCAAATAAGGTGAATCAGTTACAACCAAAGGAAATGTTCAGTTACTGGGTACAAAGTCATAATCTGATCTATAATTTGGAAGTATCAATCTTAAATTATAAATACTAATATGCTTAAAAGGAATTTCCTAATATTCAGCAGTTAGGTGAGATTGTGTCCATCTGTGCTTCTCTCCCAAGACCCAGAAACACAGATACTCAAATACACCAAGGGGCAATCACATTTTAAAATTCATTTTGTGAACCTACTCTACAATTTAAAGAATTATTTATCTAGCCCTTTTCGAGCTCCACACACTGCTATTTCTTGTAGAGAGGAACTCTGCTGTCAATCATTGCTCCCTTTGCCACGAAAATATGTGCTGCAGCTTTCACTTGTCACTCCTATTATATGTAATGTAGGCAGCTTAGCACTAAATCAATTTAAGGAACTGCAGAAGTTAAATACATACATTATTATTATGATGACAGAAAAGGCAATGAATGTCTTGCAGCTCCATTTGCTTTCTTTGTTAAGAAAGAAAAAGCTAATTATCTTCAGCTGTCAACCATGAAGTCCTAGACCTATTTAAATCAACATTAGCCTTGGACAACTGAAAACATTTCTCATATTTTTGCCTGATTGTTTCCTTTTTGCAAAATATTACACATTCTGAGGACAATGTAAAAACAAGTTGAAAAATGTAAAACTACATATTTATATCCCTTTTCATAACCAATTCATTTTAATATTTCAAACGACAGACTGCCAATTTTTTGAAATACCCATTCTCCAATTAGTGTAACCAAAATTTAGACAGATATAAGCCTCTCCACAAAAAAAATCATATTAAAATTCAACTGAAATCCCACAGACTATTGGTTACAATGAAATTATGCTACAGATGATCAAGAGAGAAATTCTATCCATTTATTTAACAAAAAGAGAGAAAGGAAAACATGTCCCAAAATTGAAATGCTTATAAATGACAGAAAAGTCACACTGAATCATAGGCATCTATGTCTATATATTAATCTCTTTTTCTACCAATCTTCAATTTTCCAAGCTAGTCCCATTAGAATCTAGAACGAAATAACTAGTTTTTCTTTTTCAAGTTTTAGGATCAATTTGTATATTTCCAGTATATCAAATAAAAATAAAGAGAATATTCTTAAATCAAAGAAAAGCAAACTATCATCAATATATAAACTATGGAATCTCTTAACACTGTACTGTAAAAAGTACACAAAGGCATTTCTTGCTGACAAACATAAATATTCTCTGCATGTGCTCTGAGTCCTCGGTGAAAAAACATTATTTTCCTTTTATTTTCTTTAGAAAAGCTCTTCTCACAGGAAGAGACTCAATATTATTTTTAAAATTTCTGAAATCACTGTCCATTTAGCTTTCCAGAGA